TGCAACACAGTGTTTCACACTGTCATTGTTCTTCTCCGTTTGTTTTGACGTGTTGCAGAAATTAGATATGGTAGAAGCAATCAGTACAAAGTCACTCTGACAATGGCTGAAACTACACACAGCAAAAACTGATTATGGATGGGATGTTCCCGTCATTGCTTGTAACATCGGACACCACAATGTTGACCCCAACAGCATGAAATAATCAACACAAAATAAAGCTGACAAGGGCTTAAATTGCTCCCAGGAAAAGGTGGATTTGGTGGAAATAATGCCTCACAAAGAGACTTCATAATGAATAAGGCAATAATCAGTAAAAACTCATAAAGATATAAGATAACTGGGCTCCAGGGTAACAGCTCAATTCTCATCCTGCACATGCTATCAGGATCCCCTGTGGGTGCCGGCTTGTGTTCTGGCTGCTCCACTTCCATCGACCATCTGTGGGTGGCTTGGGAAAACAATGGAGGATGGCCCAAAGCCTTGGGACCCTGCACCCACGTGAGAGACCTAGAAGAAGCTACTAGCTCCTGACTTCAGATTGGCTCTGTTCTAGACTTTGTAGTCATTTGGGGAGTGAACCAGTGGATAGAAGATCTCTCCTTCTTTCTCCATAAATCTATCCTTCCAATAAAAATAAATATATCTTTAAGGAAATATTTATTTATATTTCAAAGTCAGATATACAGAGAGAAGGAAAGATAGAGAGGAAGATTTTCTATCTGTTGATTCACTCCTCAAGCAGCCTCAATGGTTGAAGCTGAGCCAATCCAAAACCAAGAACCAGGATCCTCTTCTGGGTCTTCCACGTGGGTGTAGGGTACCAAGGCTTTGGGCCGTCCGCGACTGCTTTCCCAGGCTACAAGCAGAGAGCTGGATGGGAAGTGGAGCTGCTGGGATTAGAACCGGTGCCCATATGGGATCTGAACTGAGATGATGAGCATCTTGAAGCTGTGGGGCTGAACGCCTTCTCACACAGATCCATTTGCCACTTTTGTTCTATTCTTAGTGTGTACTTTCCCCCTCGTCATTCTGATTGATCTATATAGCATATACACTTATTATATTAATTGGCACTTTCAAGGTGAGCACTTTAGCTGCTATGCAATCACTCTGTGCCTAAAATAAATAAATCTTAAAAAACAAAACAAAACCAGATAACAGAGCAGATGAATCAGGTGCTGGTGCTGTGGCACAGTCGACCATTGCTACCTGCCATGTGGATTCCAATCTGGGTGCTGGCATGAGTCTGGGATGTACCACTTCCCTTTTAGCTCCCTGATCATGTAAATGGGAATGCAGTGGAAGATAACCCAATCAGAAAACTAGAATGAATATCCTGGCTTCTGCCTGGTCAAGCCCAGGCCATTGCGGCCATTGAGGAGTGAACCACCTCTCTGTCTTTCCTCTCTGTAATTGTTTCAAGTAAATCTTCTGTAAAAAAGACAAATCTTTATTATAAATTTTTTGAAAAGATTATTTATTTGAAAGAATTACAGTAAAAAATGTAACAAAAAATTAAAACACACACATACACATGGTGTGGGGGTAATGATTTTGAATCTATTGATGGTCACAATGGCCAGCACTGTACCAAGCTGAAGCTAGAAGCCAGGAGCCTCATCTGCATCTCCCATATTGGTGAAAAGGCCCCAAACACTTGGACCATCTTTGGCTGCTTTTCTTGGGCTGTTTCTAAGGAGCTGGATCTGAAATGGAGCAGCTGGGATACCAACAAGCGCTCATATGGGATATGGGCATCACAGAACACAACAGGGGCAACTATATACAATGCTCTTGAACAGAACATATCTCGATGAAGATACAATATGAAAAAAGAAGGAAAAGTTAAATTTCTAACAGCACAGTTAAAATATTGACTTATTGAGGGATTAAATTGGCTAAATGGAGTTAAGTCCTTAGAACACTTTCCTAACATCATTAGTGTTGATGTAATTAACAGTAAAGTTTGCCATGGCTTTGGCAGGAATCTGGTGACAGAATTCTCAACTTAGAAGAAGGGTTTGGAGTGTTAGTGGCAGCTTGCAGTCTTCAAACAGTGTTACCCCCAGTGTGTTTTTTGATTTTCCTAATAACGTTGTAAGGTGGCAGGAATCATTCCTTCCAGCTTACTGATGTAGAAACCAAAGGTCTCGCACCCTCTTCAGGGCAAGATCTAATTTAGGATCAGATTCCCAGATCCCAGGAGACTTCCTTGTACCTACTTATTTTGTTGCATATGATGTTGCTCTTGCTAGATACACCAGAAGCAGTCAGTCTGACCATGCTCATCCCACTTTCTGTCCCTAGGAGAAGTGGAGAAGACAGGATCACATTTGTTGTCCCGTAGCCAACATGTCTAGATACTTCTCTCACTACTCTCAGAACAGGGAGCAGTGTGGGTCAACAGGACGAGCAAGGAGATAAGCAGAGTGAAAACAGCCAGTACCTGGTGCCTTTGGGTAAAAGGGAATCCTGTAGGATGAGGTGGGGTCAAGTTGAAGATTAAAACTTAACTGTGAACAAAAGTTGTCCTTGGAGCTAACCAAGCTGGGCTTTCTTCTGGAACCCTGCAGGTCTCCCAAGAACTGGGATCCAGAGCTTAATGATCTAGAATGCTTTTTTTTTTTTTTTAAGATTTATTTATTTTTATTGAAAAGTCAGACATACAGGTAGGAGTACAAAGTGAGAGGAAGATCCTCTGTCTGCTGATTCACTCCCCAAGCCATGTGGCAGCTGGAGATGAGCCAATCTGAAGCCAGTAGCCTGGAGCTTCTTCCGGGTCTCCCACGTGGGTGCAGGGTCCCAAGGTGTTGGGCTGTCCTTGACTGCTTTCCCAGGCCACAAGCAGGGAGCTAGATGGGAAACAGGACCGCCGGACTGGAACTGGTGTCCTTATAGGATCCTGGTGGCACATTCAAGGCAAGGACTTAAGCTGCTAAGCTACTGCGCCCAATCTAGTGTGTCATACAATACTATGGAATAATGGGGGCTGATATTGTGGTGCAGTGGAAGAATACGTAGCTTGCAGTGTGGGCAAACCATACAAACGCTGGTTCAAGTCCTGGCTGCTCCACTTCAAATCCAGTTTCCAGCAAATATACCTGGGAAAGCAGCAGAGGGTGTCCCAAATGTTTGGGCTCCTGAAACTCTGTGGGAGGCTTCAAAGAAACTCCTGGCTCCCGCTTGGCCCAGCCTGGCTGCTGTGGCCATCCAGCGAGTGAACCAATGCATGGAAAACGTCTCGCTCTGTTTGCTCCCACTTTCTCCATGTAACTCTGCCTTTCAAGTAAATAAAAAACAAAACAAAAAATCACCTGAAGTGTCATGTAATTGAATACATGATGTATTAAATTAATATGATCTGAGATCATATTCCGTATTTTAGAAATTAGACACAGGTGTCAGGAATAAAACTTTTTTCAGTGTAAGACTAACTCATTTTAGGCAATCTTTTGTGTAGGAATAGCTTTGTGGGTCTTTTACAATGATTCTGCTCCTTTCTCCTCACTCCATTACTGTAAGAATACAACCGTCAGGAAAATTAGCATGTTTAAAATATCTTTTGGGAAGGTAGGTCTTTGGCCTGAGTTTTGAAGAATGAAAGAGAGAAAGGAAGAAAATGTGTGTGGAAAGATTAGAAAGATGAAAATTGGGACCATGCACTGAGATTTGAGAGCATTTTTCCTGTTAACCTCACGCCTTTTAGGAGCTGTACCTGGATTTTGGAACTACTGAGCTCACAGAAAAAGCAGAGTGTCTTTGCCCTGAGGTGTTGCTGAGGCACTGGGGAGCCACAGAACGTTTCCAGGTAGCAGAAAGGTTGTCATATTTGGGAACCTTGCTTTTTGGAAATAGTCTGATCACTTGAAAAAGTAAAGTGCTCCTACACAACTCGGGTGTTACAAAAACAAAAATGATTTTTTTCTTTTTTAACCAGAAGGATTTTCAACCTGACATTCTATTCTCAAAAAAAAAAAAAAAAAATCACAAATCAACAATTGGGACACTTCTTTCCTGCAATCTCTCTACAGTTATAGAATCAAGCTTTACATAATCTGAATTCTTCTGAACACGCTTGGCTGTAATCAGTTATTTCCCCTTGTGAATAGCATTTCATTGCAATAAACCTATATCATTTTAATGGCTGCTTAGTACTGCAATGCATGCTTCTGTCACACTTCACTTAACCATCCCTCTAGACATTTAACTTGTGTGTCCTCCTCCCCCTCCTCGGAATCAACCTGTGCATTCATCGTCTCTAATTATTCGATGATCATCCTTTTTAGGTAAATTAAAAGTCATGGGGGGCTGGGTCAAGAAACGTGTCCTTTTGCTTTTGGATTCAAGATGCCCACTTGCTCTCAAGTCGGCTGGGAGACCAATCAGGAAGCGGTAGCACTAATTCTGGTCTAACAGTGCCGAAGGAGACGGCTGGGAGACTACACATCTCTGGTGACCCAGCCTCTGTAGGCCGCCGCCCGGTCGGCTGGCAAATCCCTTCCCTTTTCCCTCGCTTTCACTTCTTTTTCTTAATATGGTGGAAGAACCAGAACTGCATCTCCCAGGAACTGTAGTACCGAGTCTGAGATGGGCCCGGAAAGAGTGTACGGCTGAAAGGCCATGCTGGGAGTTGTAGTCCGGCGGGTAGCTCGCGCGCAACCGTGTTGGTAAAGACTGGGAGAATTCCGAGATTCGCCACTTGGGCTGTGGCACAACCTGACTTCCCTGCCGTGCGCCCTTGGAGTCTGCAGACGCCTCCCGCGGACGACGGGCTCGACTCCATTGTCCGTAACCGGAGAGGGCGCGGCCTCTCGCTCTCGAGCACTCGGCGGAAGGCGCCGGCCGACCGCGGCCGGAGCAGTGCATGCCGGGAGTTGTGGTCCGGGCGCGCTGAAGCCGGGGGACGTGTCGCGACGGCGCGCCGGCTCCTCCTTCCCCTCCCGGCTCAGCGGTCCCCCGCCCCCCGCCCGCAGCCGGGCGTCCCCTCCCCCACCGGCGGCTCCTCGGCGGCGACTGCGGAGGATTCAGAGCCGAGTCGCTGAGGAGGAGGCTCTCCAGCCGCTGCGCGCCATCCGCCACCCCGCTGGATACGGGCGAGGGAGCGAGAGCGTCGCCGCCGTAGCCTCCCGGGAAGACAAGGGCATCGCTCGCCGCCTCAGCCGCCGCCGCCGTTCTCGCCTGCAGTCGCTCGCCGGTAAGGAGACCCCCCCCCGCGGCCGCCCGGTCCGCTCGTCTGCAGCCCGGGATGGCCGTGCCCGGGAGAAGGGAGAGTGGCGGCTGCCCAGCTCCCCGCGCGGCCGGGGGAGGGGGCCAGGTGGCAAGGGAACGGCGGGCTGGGGGTGGGGTGAGGGTGGGACCCGCGCAGGTGGGGGTGGGCGACGGGGAGCAGCTGGACCTGGGATGGGAGCTGGGGCTCGGGGGGAGGTCGAGGCAGGATTGCGGGATGGTTTTGGAGCGAGGTGCAAGATAAGACTGGTCTGGGATGGCTTTTCATGGGGGAGGGGACCGCAGAAGGGTAGTGATTTGGGGTTGGCCGGAAAGCAGTTGACAGCTTGTATCCTGAACCAGGGTGGCAGGTAGAGAATAGGACCCTGGGGAGTGGAGGAATTTGGGGTGGATTTGGGGCAGGCTGATGGAGGTGGTAGGAGCTGGGGGGCTGAGAGGGCAGGGATTGAGCCCCGAGCTTGGAGTGGGCGTTTGTCATCTGAGGATGATGGAATGTGTAGAGCTATATGGAACAGCATGGGTCAGGGTAGGGCATGGGAGCCGGAATTGGGGGTTTACCTGGGGTAGGCTGATGGGGGTTGGTGTCGCTGGTGGAAGTGTGCGGGTGAGCTGGCAGGAAGGGGGGCTTAATTGGAAGTTAGGCCCTGAATGGATATTGAAATTGGGGGTGGGACACAGTGGGATAGGACTTAGGGTGATTCTGGAAAGGGCATAGTGGTTTCTTGGGTTCAGGGTCGAAGTGGAGGGCACCTAAGACTCAGCTGGGTAGGACTCACCAAAGCACGGTGGCAGGTGGTGAGCGCGGTTGGGGGATGGTGTCTGGGAGAAAATATCCCTTCGCCAAGGTGGCAGAGGGAATGTTGGAGAAGGAGGGTACCAGGGGAGCCGGCAGCCCCGGCTTTTGCCGCTGGTGAGGGGCAGAGGGGTCATTGGAGGAATGGGAGCCCTGGAGTTGTGGCTGTGGATGGGGCAGGAAGGATGGAGCAGTGCTGGGAAGGGGTGCATTGGACCTTTTTGGAGAGGAAGGGTTAGGACACTAGGGGCACGGTGGGCAGCGTTGGTGGCTGGTGCTGGAGGAGGAGCAGACCTCCGAGGGGCGCTGCTAGAGGACATCTTAGGGGCCGTTTGACCTTTTTGTTTGTTGCTTTCCTTTGTGTCAGTATTCTTCGGAAGTGATGTCCGGGCTTAGGAGGGTGAAGTTGAGAGGGGCCTCCGTTAAGGTAGAGCTAAGAAGGCAAAGATATTTCTTATTTTTTATGTTAATAAAAAGAAAGTTGAAGGGGGGCGAATCCACTCCCACACCAAAGGTGGAAGCAGGTGGAGCTGGAATGCCCTTCTCTAGGACGTCTGTGCTTCTCCCTCGCGTGAAGGGCTCACAGCTGGCCCTTGCATTGGAAATTGAAATGTGGTTGGATTAGCCTCAGGTAGTTAAGGATATATTCCTTGTTTGAGAGCTGATGAGAGGGAAAATTAGGAGGCGCAGTTCATTTTCTAGGCAAGGTGAAAGAGCTTTAGCCTCTCCCCCACTCCAAACCCTTTAAAATTGATTGCTTGAAGACTCCTTTTATTGGTGTCCTGGTTTGCAAGGCAATTAGGCCCATCATTGTATTGCAGGCCAATAATCCCGAGATGAGTCTTGGCACCACTGCTTTATGTAAACAGAGAGAAGACAGGAAATAGGGAAATGTCATAAATATTCATTGGGGAGATGGTTCGCTATTGATGGAGTTTTCCATTTAATTCTCTTTTTGACGTTGCCTGATAAGATTGAAGATAATTGGACTGTATTTCTGTAGATTGAATTTTCTTCTGAAGGAATTCAGGTGGTCAGAATTCTGTCAGATGTGGATAAAGAATCCAAGAGGCTTCAGAACTATCCAAACCACTCAGACAGAACCCTCGGAATATGTACACAGTGAGACTCTGCGTTGATGTGAGGTGGCAGTTCCTCATCCCTGGGTACTGGGATGTGTGGAAAGTCATGAATGGTTTCTCCCTTTGTCCTCCTCCCCCCCGAAACAAGAAGAAATAGCAAAATTTGGAAGTAATAAGTACACCCAATTTCCCCTAAACCTTGATCCTTCCAACCTTCCATGTAATCAGTATAAAAAATAAAATTTACATTAAAAAAAAAAGAATTCAAGAGGCATTATATTTTCAGGAGATGATGTTGATGCAGGCACATTGCCTTACCTGCAGACACTATGTCTTCGCGGTTGCTTCAGAAATTCCAGGTAGTGCTTAGTGCTGTGCTTGCTCTGGGGCAGATGGGGGGTGGGGGGGAGGGATTGCAGGGTAAGTGGAAGGAAGATCGTTAAGGAAAGAGTTTTTGGACTTAATGGCATTAGTATGATATGTTAAACACCAGGTGGCTCTCAATTGGAGCTCAGACTGAGGAAAAAGGAAGAAGGATGTAAAGAGGATAAAATTGGCACCAATTGGATCAAAATAAATCCTTTTGTTTTTGTTCAAGCTTCAGAGTTCAGCTTGCAAACAAACCGTTTTTTCCTTGGCTTTCACAGTTAAGCCTATCAAAATGCCCAATTAAATTTTTTTTCCTTCCCCCCCTTTTTTTTTTTTTTTGTACTTCCAAACTGAGAAGAATGATGGAATGTTTAGCGCTGTCCTTAAAATTGAAAGTGTTTTTTCCTCCAGGGCCTTTCTGTATTATGATAAAGGCCAGGTTTGAGCAGTTACCTGTAACTCAGTGCGGGTGTGCTCTAGAATGTGAGCGTTTTTCCTCATAACTTTCCTCTGGGGCTCAGACATGGCTTTTGTGACTCTGCACTCTTGGTGTAGAGGTGAGATGTTTATATTAAAGTCCTAGCTTTGAAAAACTCCAAATGAAAGCAATCACCCAGGAGAAACGTGCTGGCGGGTTTGCTGCCCTCCTGGCAGTCGTGGTCGCCTGTGCAGTAGGGTGTGTATAAAGCCCATTGGAATCTACCTCGGTGTGCTCACCAGGTGTTTTCTGAGGAGAAAGCTGATGGAGTTCTTGGTAGATGCACACCTGTGTAGAATGAGTAACCCGCAAATTTAGGAGTCCTGGCTTTAAACCTACAATCTCCCACTTGAAAACTGAGCGAGTTGAATAAAGTCATCAGAGTCCTGTCATGCTCAGGACTCCTGGTTGTCCATCATTGTGAATGTACTTAATGCTGCTGAACTGTATGTTTACATCCAGTTAAAGTGGGAAAAATCAAAATCAAAAGGCTTCATACTCTGTAAGGGGAACAGATCAGTCTGTGACCTTCAAGCACTGCACAAACCCGAAATGACTTTTCACTTAATGCCTGCCAAGTATCAAGGGAAATGAAAGGGAGCAAAAAGGAATAGTCAGGGTGCTCCCAGTGTCATGGGAGAGAGAGACAGTATACGTGTCTGAGAACTGAGCTAAACTAAATGAGAGGCTAAGTGTGGCTTGTGAGGTGCATCTGCTTTGGACCCCTGTGCTGTTTCCTGGGACAGCATGGGCTCATCTGTCAAGGGGGTAGTAGAACCGATCTCTCCGGGTTCTTGTCAGGATTACAGCAAATAGTCCGTGGAAAGCCTTTAGTGCAGTGTGGTGTGTGGTACACAGTAGGGAATGTTAGTCATGCCATTGCTGTTACAGAGGTAGGCAGAGGCTTGGATGCCCTGCAGTAGCTCTTAGCATACTAGTGTTCTGCTGATTAAGGGAGTGTTACATTATGTTTACAGTTTTGTATTGCCTATTTGCATGTTTGTAGTATAGACTTTTTTTTTTAAGATTTATTTTATTGGAAAGTCAGATTTACAGAGAGGAGAGACAAAGATCTTCCATCTACTGGTTCACTCCACAAGTGACCACAGTGGAGCTTAGTTAATCTGAAACCAGGAACCAGGAGCGTCTTCCGGGTCTCCCACATGGGTGCAGGGTCCCAAGGCTTTGGGCCATCCTTGACTGCTTTCCCAGGCCGCAAGCAGGGAGCTGGGTGGGAAGTGGAGCAGCCAGGGCATGAACCGACGCCCATGTGGAATCCTGGTGCATGCAAGGTGAGGACTTTAGCTATTAGGCTACTGTGCCGGAACTGGCTTTTTTTAAAAAAAAATTCATTTATTCTTATTGGAAAGGCAGATTTATTTATTTATTTATTTATTTATTTAATTTATAGAGAGAAGGAGAGACAAAGATTTTCTGTTCACTAGTTCAATTCCCAAATGGCTGTGATCTGTGATGGCTGGAGCTGAGCTGATCCGAGGACAGGAGGCAGGAGGCAGGAGCTTCTTCTGGATCTCTCACATGGGTGCAGGTTCCCAAGGCTTTGGGCCGTCCTCTGGTGCTTTCGCAGGCCACAGCCAGGGAGTTGGATGGGAAGTGGAGCAGCAGAGACACAAACCACTTACCTACATGGGATCCTGGCTCTAGGATGAAAATTAGCCTGAGAAGTCACCTTGCCAGATTCTGTTTGTTCTTTTTAAATTTTGAAAAAAGTCATCTGGGTAAAAGTATGTTAGCATAAATCCACAATTTAAAGAATAAGAGCAGATTGCAGGCCCGTATACATTGCCAGTCTTTATGAAGAGCTTCCTCGCACCTCTGAGACCTCTTGTGGGACACTGTGTGGTTGTCCCTGCAGCCTTCCCTGTGCCTCAAAACAAATCCCTGTCCTAAGTTTTATGGGAACCATTCTCTTCCTTTTTTTTTTTTTTTTTTACTTTTATCAAACACATGCATAACCTCAATCCATATTTTTCATTTTTGCAACTGGTAAAAAATATGTTATTAGAGATAGATAAAGACAGAATTCCCATCTGCTACTTCACTGCCCAAATGTTTGCCAGTAGCCAGAGCCAGAGCCATAAGCTGGAAATTTCATCCAGATACCCGGCTGTGTGGCAGGGACCCAGTTCTTTGCCATCACCCACTTTCTCCCCAGGCAAGCATTGGTGGGAAGCTAGAATTGGGAGCCCCGGGCAGGAATCTAGCCCAGGCACTTTGATCTGGGA